CATTTTAAGGACAGGAACACATAAGCCACTTAAAAAAAAGCTTCATGAAGTTGCAGGGGGTTCCCTTATTGATGGAGTTGGACACAGGGTCCGCTCTATCGATCATTTCTTATGACACCTTCAAAAGGATTTGCAGCAGTAGTGACCTACAAGTAAAACCCAGGCCATCGAACTTAATTCTCACTGACTTCTAGAATTCCAGAGTCAGCGTGAAGGGGGAGGCCACGCTCAAGGTGCAGCATAAGGCTTTTGAAGGCCTACTAGATGTGGTGGTAGTTGGGGGTGATCGCACGAGTCTCATTGGACTTGATTGGTTCGAGGCTCTTGGAATCCAAGTGACTGGGCTTCACAGCATGCAAATGACAGACCTTGCAGAAGTCTGCAAGGAGTTTGCTGATGTGTTTAGCCCAGAGCTTGGCTCATACAAGGGGCCTCCCATTGCTTTACATTTAGACCCAGCTATCACACCCATTAGGATTAAGCCTAGAAGGGTGCCTTTTGCTCTCAAAAGCAAAACTGATGCAGAGTTGGACAAGCTGCTCCAGCAGGGCATCTTAGAACCTGTGGACTCTAGTCCATGGGAAACCCCCATTGTAACACCTCTGAAGGCTAATGGAGAAGTCCGAATTTGTACACTGAACAAAGCGCTGCAACAGCATGCATATCCAGTACCTGTGGTGAGCCACATTCTGGCCTCCCTCAAAGGGGGGCAAATCTTTGCAAAACTTGATTTGGCACAGGCCTACCAACAGTTACCTGTTGATGAGGCAACTGCTGAGGCTCAAACAATTGTAACGCATTGGGGAGCCTTTAAGGTCAAAAGACTGCAGTTTGGGGTTAATGTAGCCCCTGGTATATTCCAAAGTGTAATGGAGCGCACGCTCCGTGGTATTCCTGGGGTCTGACCCTACTTCGATGATGTCCTCATTGCTGGGGAGTCATCTCTAAACTTAGCTGAAAGATTAAGGTCTGTCTTGCTTTGTTTCTGCCAAGCGGGTCTGAAGCTGAAGCAAGATAAATGTTAAATTGGAGTCACTTCCACTGAATTCTTAGGTTTCAGAATTGATGCTCAAGGCATCCATCCTGCTGAATCCAAGCTCCAAGCAATTCAGCAGGCCCCAAGTCCAAAAGCAAACTTCAGGCTTTTCTGGGACTCTTAAACTTTTATCATGCATTCCTTCCCCATAAGGCTGCAGTGGCTGAGCTGTTACACCGGCTCTTGGATAAACAGGCTCCATGGCAGTGGACAAAGGTTCATGAAAGGAGTTTCAATGAGATTAAGGCCTTGCTCTCTTCAAATGTGGTCTTAGTGCATTTCAATGAGCAATTGCCAGTTTGCATCATATGTGATGCATCCCCTTATGGGGTGGGAGCAGTACTCAAGTCACCTGAAGGCTGATGGGACACAAGTCCCTATGGCCTACTGTTCAAGGACTCTGTCATCTGCAGAGCGTAATTACACCCAGATTGACAGAGAAGCCTTGGCCATAGTGGCTGGCATAAAGAAATTTCATGATTTCTTATATGGCTGCCACTTCACCGTCTATACAGACCATAAGCCTCTGCTGGGTTTGTTTACCACAAACAAGCAAACCCCTCACATAATATCTTCTAGAATGCTGAGATGGTCAATTTTCCTGTCAGCATATGACTACACACTGATTCACAAACCTGGGAAAGAAATGGGCCATGCAGATGGCCTCAGCAGATTACCTCTACAAAAGATAGAGGCGGATCCTGCCCCTGCTATTCACATCCTCTCCATTCAGGAGTTGCCTGAATCTCCCCTCAATGCTAGGGACGTGGCTGCAGAAACTGCCACTGATCACACGCTTACATGCATGCTGACATGGGTGTTGTCAGGATGGCCTGACACGTGTCCAGGTACTGAATTTCAAAGTTTCTGGCAAAGGAAGCACAAGCTTTCCACTTTCAAAGGGTGCCTTTTATGGGGTAGCAGGGTAGTTATCCCAGCCTCATTGAGGACTAGAGTCTTGATCTCTCTGAATGAGGGACATCCGGGTATAGTCCGGATGAAAGCGCTTGCACACAGCCATCTCTGGTGGCCTGGGCTCAATAAAGCCATCGAGATCCAGGTTCACAGGTGCCAAGTGTGCCAACAGTCCAGGCCTGAAGTGCTTCAGGCCCCTGTACACAGTTGGGAGGAAACACAAGCCTCTTGGTCAAGGGTAAATATAGATTACGTTGTGTGTGAGGAAACACAAGCCCCTTGGTCAAGGGTACATATAGATTACCTTTCAGAGGCAATTCTTCCTGCTCCTCGTTGACAGCCATTCCAAGTGGCTAGAGGTTGTGCCAGTTTCCTCCACCACTATTGCTAGGACCATCCAGGTATTGAGATGAATCTTCACTTCCCATGGACTTCCAGATGTTCTAGTCTCAGACAATGGCCCCCAATTCACTTCTTCTGAGTTTCTACAGGCCAACTTGATCCGGCATGCAACTTCAGCACTGTTTCATCCATCTTCCAATGGCCAGGCAGAGAGGATGGTGCGCACTACCAAAGATGCTCTCAAGAGAATCACTTATGGCAGCTGGCATCACAGGTTAGCTGATTTCCTTCTTTCACAATGCACCACACCTTGCACAGCCACAGGAAAGAGCCCAGCAGAACTCTGCTGGGGTCGCCACCTCATCACGAAACTGGACAGGTTGCACCCAGACTGGGTGGCGTCACAGGTGTCACAGCTGCAGGCACCTAGGAGACTACAGGTGGGCGATCCGGTCTGGGCAAGGAACTATGGACCTGGACATCTCTGGGTCACAGCAGTAGTATGCAAAGTCTCTGGGCCGCTGTCATACGAAGTGGCCTTGGATGATGGGCACGTCATCCAACGTCACATAGACCAACTGCGCTGGAGGCTTCCCAGCAACACTTCTGCTCCTGTCTCTGCTCTCGGGGGGGGAGGACCATAATCACAATTCTGGACCACAGTGTCCCCACTCTAGTGGTTCGTAACATGCTGCCGCACATGTTCCAGTGGCAGAAAGGGGGTATTTGCACACTTCAGCTATTGCTCCAGACAGGGAGTCTCCAGAAAGGGGGTTTGCCATGGAGGCGGCTCCTGACTCTGGCACCTCCAGCACATACATGGGGGCCATGGGTTATTGGGGCACATCAGCCACTCAGGCCACTCCAGCTGCTGGTCTTGAGCTCGAGGGACAGTGCTCCCAAGAGGAGTCTATTGTGGACTTGGAGAATTCCACCCCATCACCGGAGTTGGGGAATTCCACCCCCCCAAGGAACCCTGGCTTGGATTTAGAGGATCCAGCCAGTCAGCAGCTGGATGGGTCACCTGGGTCTTTGGGGCATCAAAGTCCTGGTCTGCCTAGCCTGGCAGGTGAGCTGGCAGGCCAGGCACACAACCGGCCATAAGAAGGTCTCAGTGGGCCAAGGGTCCACCTAAACATCTTAAAGACTATGTGAGGTTTTTGTGTAGCGCAAGGGAATCTTACTAGTTCTTCAAACACTCAAAGGGGTGCTACACCTCAAGGTATTAAGCATTGTAATTGTATTCTTGTATATATTAAACAATGGATGAATGGTCTGCCTGTGTGCAGGCATGATGTATAACAACAACAACAACCTGCCAATTGAACACATGTATGTGTGCTGCTATAACGATAAGGGTACTTATTGTTTTACCTAGGGGGGAGGGGTGTTATGTCCTGAACCTGCTGAATCATTCAGCAGGCTCAGAAATGTTGCAAAGGGTCCCGGGCAAACCACAAGGCTGCCCGGGACCAGACTGGCTGTCTCCAGCCTTGCACGCATGTGCAAGTCGCGAAAACAGCCTTGCATTCATTGGCTGACGCTGGCCTTTGCAAGGAAACTATAAAAGGCCTGCGCGCCATTTTTTCTGTTGCTGTTTGTTGATGAATGAATAAAGAAGAGTTGCTGTTCACACTACTTGTTTCTTTGCAATGTCTTTAACCCGCGAATTTAACAGAAATCATACCAAATATACTTTCCTCCTCCTATTCTTCCCACAAAAGCAACCTTGTGAGATGATTTGGGCTGAGAGAGTGGCTGTTCAAAGTCACCAGCTGGTTTTCACATGTAGGGTGGGACCAAAAGTCAATCTCGTGGCTCTCTTGGAGGAAGCCTTATTAGTGAAAAGAAAGGAATGTTATAAAGCTAAACTAGATGTATGTACTTGAATCATGAATTTAGATTATGTTCATTTAGTTACAAGACCAGCCTATTCCCTATAGCGGAGTCTTTTATAAAAAGCACAAGGTGGCAGTTCAGAACCAAAAATGAATGCTAAGTCTATAAGATCTAAACTTAATCACAAACCCCTTGATACTGGTTCTATATTGTAAAACAATAAAAAAGAAAATAAACAGACTCTTAATTTCTCTATTATCATATTCACACACAGTTACTTAATTGTTCTGAATTCTGATACTTACATACACATCTGTGATCTAGTGAAGAAAAATGGATAGGTTGGTATGAATAACTCATTGTCTTTGTTGGGAAGGGGTCGTAAATATAATGAGGAACTAAATGTAATACGCAAACAATACCGTTGAATGTAGAAATAAATACAGAGACACCAAAATCCACACATACAAACACATATTTATAATACCAATACTATTTTTGCTTGTGCAAAGAGACAATGGGTGATTTTTAAAAAGCTATAAAAAACAAGAAGGATTTTTTTAAAAATTAAAAAGAAGCATTTATTTCCATGACAACTGGTTGGTATTTTATAACTTTTAGACCAAGTTCATATTTTTGTCAAAGATAAAACAATATAAGGGAGCGAATCAAAAATAAATAAATAGGCTGTTTTATTGCTGCAAATAAAAGATTCAACCTTTGAAGCAACCTTTATGATAGTTCTCTTTCATTTTGAAAAGGAACATACTGAACATACTATTTGGGAATTATTGCAGTGCTCTATGTGAATTTATATCACAGTATTTTCAGACATGTACTAATATTGCATATTTTTTTCCTGTGGCAGGGATACATGCCATGAACTTCTGGGACATGTGCCTCTGCTTGCTGATCCCAAATTTGCCCAGTTTTCTCAAGAGATTGGTTTGGCCTCCCTGGGAGCATCTGATGAAGATGTCCAAAAACTTGCTACTGTAAGTCACCATCATTTAAAATGTGAGATTTCTTTCTGTGTTAAGAATCTGCCAGTTCTTCTAAATTTACTAAATGTAGGGGTGGGGGCAAGCCAGTCATTTCAATCACCCCCAAATATAGGCTATGTTCACACAATGTACCAAACCAACTGTTTTCACTAATTTTAGTATCATTTGATGAATGAATATTGAACATGGCTATGTGTTTAAGAATCCAGCTAAAATTGGATTATTTAACAAGCTATGGTCAAGCAGGCTATTGCTTAGTATGGTGCCTAAATTAGGTCATAAAGCCCATCCCTCTCTTGCAGTACAATCATGCTACCTTTAATGTATGGTCATTTCCCTCCCTCCCTCCCTCCCTCCCTCCCTCCCTCCCTCCCTTCCTTCCTTCCTTCCTTCCTTTCCAAGATATCCTGAAATCCTCCAGAAAGTCTTTTTACTTCACTGTTTTCCAGATGTGATGGGACTACTATGGTAGTCCCAGAATTTCTTGCCAGCCATTGTCCATACTCCTTAAAGACATAGGGAATTATAAAAATTGTGGATCCAATATATCTGAAACATACCTGATTGAAAGAAAACCACTTTATGATACAGATTTGAATGGATGTAATTTAGACCCATTATACTATATTTTTCTAGTTAAGCTTTTGCAAACTGCATTGTAAAGGAAATGTATATATTTTTGCATTAGCCTATAGATGAAATGAAGATGAAAATAAGGCCTACAATAAGGAAGTATTGATATTGTAGGCAATTATACACAGAGTATTCAGTGGACAGGAATTCAGTATAGTTCTGCCTGATGTATAAAAACAAAAATGGATTTGCAGGAGTAGAAAAACTTTGTATCAGAATTCTACATGTGAATCCAAATTTCTTTGAATATAAAGAAAAACTGGAGCTGGAGTATCTCAGAATACCATCTCAGAAACAATTTTTTCACAATTTTTTTTTTCTGTTGAAAGTTATGTAAAAAAGAATCCCTAGTTTTTTTGCACTGAAAATTATGTTCCTTAGTTTAGGAAATGCTTGCTCTCACCATGTCAAATTTAAGTTTATGGGTATGCATTAACTTATTGAAGTTATGAAACTTGAGCTAATTCTCCAGATTTTAATCATTTTGAGAAAACTAGTATCCAGTGTATGTACAGTATGTACATTATACAGTACATATGTTTGGATATTTGAATTCAGCCTTAGTTTCATTCCATATAGCATTAACCTTGTGAACTCTCAAGCTTCCTCCTTCCATTATATATTCAAGATGGACAGTATTTAATACTTATTTGTTATGTATATGTAGGGGTGTGGGTCTATACATACGTTGTACATAGTATGTTTAGGTGTGTGTCATGTATGTGTTTCACTTTGAGAGCGGGCAACTAAATTTCATTTTTGATGTGTGCTGGTGTGCCCATAGTAAAAAAATAACAATAAAGGTTATCTTATCTTATCTTATCTTATCTTATCTTATCTTATCTTATCTTATCTTATCTTATCTATTATTAGTATAACCTGCAATCTCTTTCTAAATGTACACTCTCATAGTGTTAGATTTGCTTCAACCTCTATTTTTTCTATATAAATAAAAAAATCAATTATTTCAAAAATGATCTTTATATTAGCCTTCACTAATTGTTTTTTTTAAAGTGCTACTTACAAATATGTCCAATTAAAACAATTGCTATCAGATACTAATTAACTTTTTCCCATGTTTTTCCCCCTTTATTCTGAAATTGTTTTCAGTTCTCAGGCACTTATGTATTAAAAATATAATTCTTTCTTTTATTGCTATTGATTGTGCTATTTTAAGCTAGTGCTGAAAAGTGGAAACTAAACCATTGGTCTCTTTGTACAAGATTACAGGAATGAGTTCAGATGGTGGGCATGATGGTGGGATCAAACCATAATATCTTTTTTATATGCCTCCTGTGTTGCATGTAGAAATGCAGGCTTTGATTGTGCCCAGGATGGTCAGGGCAAATAATGTGTAGGATGAGGTCAAACCCCCAAAGGTGCTTTTTCAAAAGGCAACTGGATTTTATTTTTCCTTGAAGACATTTTGTTTCTCATCCAAGAAGCTTCTTCAGTTCTGACTGAATAGTGGAGGATGGAAGGATTTATATTCCTTGCAATCATCTGGTCGTTAGCACTCTTTCTGACAATTGTTGAGGCCACTTGTAGATTTATCTGTGCCCTCAAGATCACCCATGGTATCATATCCCCCCCCTCTGTTTCTCTTTGGACCCACCATTGGGATTGAAAGGTGGGGTCAAAGAGGCCATCTACATTAAGGTTGAAGAGTCCTCTCTCAATAGAGGGGGAGGGATATGATATTTCTGAGCATGGAGAAAGGGTGTGGCTCTATTGAAATGCTATTGGTTTATGCACTGGATCTGCTCAGGAATATTGTGATAACTTTATCAGTGGATTATATGTTTTAATTTGATTTGATGCCTTCATTAAAATGAGCACAAAGGGGGCAGAGTTTGCATCATGGCAGCTATTAGCCCATCCTGTAGATGCTGCTGCTAGGAATGAATGCGGTGCTGTTTTTATTAAATATTAGATTAGAATAATGTTTTATAAAGTATACATTCTTTAGCAGTATGTCAGGGCTTGATAGGAGAAACATTATAAGAGGGGCATCCTCTTTCCATCTGTGAAATGCTAAGAAGAATGGTTTTTAAAAGTTTAAAGAATTATTATCACAGGGCTACACAAACATATATCAACACTGGAATTTTTTGAAAGATAATCATTTGTAAGCCAAATGTAATTACCAGTAATTATCAGTTACTATCCTGAAGAATTGAGAATACTGACTTCAGCGTAGCTCACTGTCCTAACATCAATATAAGTGGTTTGGAAATAACTTCAGGACTTAAGTTTGGAAGAATGTATCTGCCAGAAAGCCCAATATCATTTAGAGAGTCTGTGTGAAAATTCTACAACTGAGAACCAAGCATCCCTGCTCCTAATGCTATACATGTTTTAATTTATATTCTCAAAGGTTACAGGTAACTGAAAGAAGAAAACAACATCTCATCCCCTACAACATTTCAGGGAAAACAAATGGCTACAGATGCATAGCAAAGTTAACCAGAATAATAAATAGATATTTAGCATTTATATAGTGCTTTAAAGTGCATAAAACGTTTTGCAGATGTGGTCATTAATTTTAACACTAGACAATATAAGCATGCCAATTCTACAGAAGGGATGAAAAAATATTGATTTGTTTAAAATAAGCAAATGCATCTTTAATGGGTGAAGCATTTAAATAAGAATCTTTGTTAGCCTGTTCAGTTGACACCTTAAAATGTGGACCACCAAATAGGCCCTCCATCCTCTCGTTCATGCTGGTGACATCAGTGAACCTGTAGTCATCCATGACACAGAGTAGTTTTTGGCAGAAAAAAGTTTCAAATATATGCAAAGGCAGGTATGCAGTCTGAAATCCTGTAAAATCAAGGTTCCAGCTCCTACAGAGTACAATCTCAACCAAGAGCCAAAATGGTAGTGAACCATTACTCCCCTCATTGAAGTGTTTAGTACTCTTTAAGTCCAACCTTCTGTTGCCTCCTTGACAATTTGATGTTAGAGCATGCACAGTCTTATTGTGCTGAGATAACCAAGGATAACCCAGTGGTCTATATTAAATGGTGGTTTATATTACACTATCTACAATATCATATACCAGGAACAATAGACATACATGTGTTAATACAGCAGAATCCAACACACAGCAGTTACAGCAGGAAACAGAAGAGAGAGAACACGTCAGCAGAGCCTTTCCTTTATACAAATACTCTTAAAGAGACACAGACCCTGCTGAGTCATTCCCACCATTACATTACATCTTACATCTTACATTATATAAGCTGGTTAGCTGTTAAATCAATACCTTGACACTCCTCCCATTTAAAGCTAAACAGCTGTTAACCCAAATGCTTTTATATACTCTTGATGCTTGCCTGCATTTAAAGGCTTAGTCAACATATTGGTTATATTGTTGTCAGTGGAACAATGCTGTAACTTTATCAGGTTATCCTTTACAGCCTCCTTGACATTACAATATTTTATATTTGCTTCTGCTTCAGATACATCTTTGTACATGCAACATTGTCCTCAAATATTGGCACAGCTTCTTTTACATCAATACATACATCTCTTAGTAATTGGAGATACCAGGTTAATTCAGAACATTTTTTCTCTGTGTAAATCCTTGCGCAACTAACCGTGCCTTATACTGCAGTTCATTATTGTGTAAAACCTTATTTTTAAATACCCATTTACACCCCACGGCCTTTTTTTCCTTCTGGTTATCTCATAAGGGTAAAAACCTGATTCACATTCATAGACTCCATTTCTCTATCCATAGCCTCCTTCCATTTATCCTGTTCTACTTTAGGCAATGGCATCATCTCTTGGTAATTATGGTGTTCATATATTACACTATACGCTTTAACCCCACTTGCTGTGAACTGATCAGGAGATATGCTTTATTGCTATGTTCAGACCTCCTCGGTATCATCTGTTTCTGTGACTTCTCTCTTTACCTCAGGTCTATCCTCTTCTATTCCTTCTATTTCTGACCTGCTATCCTGTTCTTTCTTTTTTTTTATTAAAAAGTTTTATAAAAATTACAATATAACCCACCCCAAAACCCCCCTCTCCCACCCCAACTTCCCAGAGCTGAGTACAGGGTTACAAATATGATAATCATAATCTAACTAACATTAATCAACTATATAAATAACCAAGTCCATAATGCACTTTAACTCTCCTTTAACATAAATATAAACAAATTGAAAATAAACATAATAATAATGAAAACATAAACAAGTTAATATCCTAATTATTAAACAATACAATCCCCAAATTATTAAACAATACTAATACTAATAATAATATCATAATAATACTCTAAAATTCACTCATAGGCTAAATGAAACTTTTTAATCCCATATTTATTCTGAATATAATTTATC